TTATTTTGTTCTTCTCGAGGAACAACTGGAATGTATAAATATATATATATATACCACATTAGGCACGAATAATTCTCATAATTTTTCTTTTGCGTCACTTTATTTGCTGTCACCGTTTTTTTGTCTCTTGATGAATTTGTATGTTTATCTCACATTCCATTTCCTCGGCTGTCTGTACACTCTTGTGCATAAACAGCTTATGTGTTTGCTTGATAAACAGGATGAGATGCTGAACTCCATTTCAAATTTATTTTGTCCAGCATTTAGCTTAAACAACAAAGATCGATAATATTGTATACTCTCTTTCTATTTTAATTCTATGTCTATTGAAACTTTGAATAGTCAGAATAAAATTTAGTCGTTTCCCTGAGTATATTCAGCTGAGGCCTGAAGGAGATTATTAAGTGTCAGGATTTATTATTATTAATTCATATGAATAGGTATGAGGAATTAGAGTTGTGGTAACCTCTTCTGAGGTTTGATTATAGTAGATTTTAGCCTGACCGCTTTTTATGCACAAATAATTTATTCTAAAACCATTTTGGTTATCTTTTTGAGTTAGATCTTTATTTCTCAAGTTTTCAATCAATGGTTTTCTAATTGATGTCAGCTCATGATGAATTTCTCCATCCATTTATATCAGTTAGACAAATGTTGAAAATCAGAGTGTATTGGACAGCTGTTATGTCTTAGTCTGGGAGGTGTAGGTCTAGGCTTCGATCTCTGGTAGGTTGGTCGTGGGTGCATGCAAATTAACAGTCCAGAACAGCGGCCCAGTACTCCCCGGTTTTCAGTGTTTCTCTAGCGGATATCAATCCGTAATCAAACTTGACACAAATCAAATTGTACAAATGAACTCTTAAAAGTATATCGTTACTACTTTTATTCTCCATTTTGATTTTTCTTTCCTTTGGTTTTCGGGGCGAATGTAGAGTATCAAGCTTTGGAGTTGTAGTAACTGTGGTACTAAATTTTTATGAAGTGGGGTTATTTGCCTTATGCCCAGCTTTCCCTCTATTCCAGGCCTACCACTGACTAGGTGAGGTTCACCGGCGTGTCGGCTGGGAATCGAATCTGAACCTCCCACGTGGTAGGAAAGCATTCTACCATTGAATTTCCAATGTGCTTCACACTAAGTATCTATAAAATCCAGCACAGAGAATATCTGCGATTTCATTTATGCAGAAAGTAGAAATGTGAATGATGGAGGGTAAATATTTTATATAATCGTAAGATTCCATCTGGAAAATATATCTAAGTCTCAAGAACTTTAGAAATCCCTAAGATAAATTTACAGATAAGATAATTGTAAATATTGTTGACCATGATGATGATAAGCTCCTTTGAGCAAACAGATTATCCTGAAATTATTATTATTCTCTTGAGTTCTGAGTGGAACAATACATCTCCATCTTGTCCCATCTTCTGCCGTCCTCTTCAGCTTGGTCAACGGTTGCCCACAATCTCTCATCTCCTCCTGTTCACACGATCACCTCCATGTTACCCTCACACTGACGACCCATTCGCCACTTCCTATTGGAATTTCATACGAGGGCCTGGCGCACAATGTTTTTGACGGCCTCCTTAGCATATGATCTATTCATCTCCATTTTCTCTAACATATTTGTTAAGCAATCGGCTCATGGCTTGTTTTTTCCAAGCTAGAGTTTCTTGTTACTAATTCTTCCTGGCCATTCAATCCCCAATATAAAGCTGGGGAAGCTTTCGATAAAATTCTGCAATGGCCTGCTGGATATGCTTTTCGTGACGGGCGTAATAAATCTCTGATTCATATAGGAGGACCGACTTGACATTGATGCTGAAAGTCCGAATCTTGTTCTTTATGCTGGCTGAGAGCAGCGCAGAAGATTTCCAAACTGGTTTCAGTTTAATGAAGGCGTATCTTGCCTTTCTTATTCTGACTGGTATTGACATCTTCATCTGTTCCGCCTGTAGTCAAAACGATGCTTCCTGACCAGATAAGTGAAGGAGGTAGTCTCTGTTAAATATCTCTCTTTCGCCTAGTTAACTAGCTGCTAGTTTTCTAACCGGTCGTAAGCTTGGGTAAAGAGGGAGGGTTGGGTGTGGGACTAGCAACTCAACACAACTAAACCTAACAAACCGCTAGAGGAACTTAAACTCAAAGAAAATATATTACAAGATTATCCTAGTACTACTTATGAATTCTAATTTAATATTGCAGAGTTATTTAAAGACTAATAACATTACCAAGAGTTACTTTGTAGGTATTTGATTTATTTCCGATTTGACCTTGGATTGATACCAGTTAGAGGACCGTTGAAAGTCAACTGGGAATACTGGACACTTCTTTCTTCCTAGTTAGGGATTCGTCCATTTTGGAACATCGAATCCCAACAAGCTAACTCTTGAAAATTAATCCCATGATTGTTAGTGCCTGGTTATACGACAACGTTGACTGGAGTCCTAGTGAGAAGTCATTACCAGTGGGTTTCAGCCTGTCAGTGGTGAGGACAAATACTCGCCAATGACATTAGCTGGTGGTCACGCTAAAATCACGAATTGGTAGAAGTTTGAATTCGTGGATCGTTGAGTTGGGTCCCGGTGGCTGAATGATCTAAGAGCTTACCTTATAACTTGAAGGTCTTAGGCTCGAAACCCAGTGAGTTTGTACCGATGATGAGTCTCAAACTAGGACGACACAGCCGGCTGTTCAAAACTCCTTGATTTTCAATGTTTCTCTCACTGATATCAGTCCACGGTTGAACTTGATTAATATGATGCCTTAATGCATTTAATGTAGCCAGAAACAGACAAAATACCTGGGTTATTTTAGACTTACACAGTGCAACTTCATTATAATGACAGAATTATTAAATACTGAAATAATCCAACCTTTTTGACTGGTCAGAGTATTAATAAGACAGAAAGTGTATTTAGTAATCTGAAGTTATGTATAGGCGAGAAACGTTTACTATGACAATTAGTTTTTATGAATTCTAGTCAAGACTTGACCTTCTAGCTCTACAAACATTATATATGCATAAAACTCAGTGGAAATGGAATAAATAATTCCGTTTCTTACAGGAAACTAGTCTGAATTTCTCCAGATTAGAGGTAACCAGCAAGAAGCCCTCCATCTGGGTTTTATGCTTGTTCACACTAGTCAATAGGTTATGAATATAATCTTACGTGGCACTTATGTCTCCTCTCAGATTCGAGTTCACGTCATCCATTACTGGATTTAGTGACATTACCACTGAGTTAATTATGCTCATGGTTGGCATTATGTAGGTAGTAACAAATGTCATGTGTCTAGTCCTCTATGTTAGTGCTAATTGGATTCTATCAGTCAAGTGTACACTAAGAAATGTATGACCAATACGAAATATTAAATGTAACCTCAGTCAAGTTTTGGGCTTCAATTGACTTTGAGATGGAACACGTAAAACAACCCTCGAATTCCAAATATGAGCATACATCAGTGCAAATAACGTCACTGTCTTTTGACACTAACCAAAAAGATTCATCTCAATATCTTTGCTTCAGAATCTACAGTTCTTAAATCAAGTTTATCATCAAGAAGTATACATCAGGAATAAAATTTTGATTGGCAATTCAAAGTAGTACCAGGTGAATTTTTTTTTAAATAAATGAATGATTTACAAGAATGGGTTAAATAAGGTTGTAAATGGAATATTGAACGAACAACCATCCGTCATAATGAATTCATCATAGCATAAGGTAGGAAGGAAGGAAGATTAATAAGTGTACACTAAAAATTTGCAGTGTTAACTATATCAGTAGTCAGTATTTGTATAAAACAAAAGACAGCCGGAATAGTGTGAACTATATTCACCATATACATAACCAAAATAACGTGACAGTATAAGTAAGACATGTTACTGAGCTATTCAAACACTAGGATTTCGACATATTTAGTTCAGTGTATTTGAAGAATAGCCTAGGAACACATCTTTTATACTGCGTGAAACAGATGAGATGATGTTATACAAAAAGTAATAATAACGCTAATAATAGGTTGTTGTTGTATCCCACTCGGTGATAGTCCTACCAGCAATCATGGTTTTAAACACCTAAGGATTATCCACTTGGGGAATAGAGTGTTTGAAAAGATGGCTGCAGGGCTCGAGTCTCAGTGTGGACATCATCACTTAGATACACCAAGCTAACAAGTCCCAAACAGGACAAAATGCACATCGTAGATTCCCCTGTTAGACACCATCAATCATAGTAACACCATGCTAATCCTCGGACAAATCATTGAAGAGTCCACACTACTAGCTGACATGTCAACAGACAACGGACACTTCAGTCCAATATAAATATCCGACGATAAATAAGAATTATTTTACAAACAAATAGATTGTTAGTATCAGTCTGCATATCCAGTGGTGTCAGAAAGGAATGCCTTAATTCATTTAGAATGCAAAAATAAAGTGACAGGCACCAAGATCGAGATTGTCTTGACATGAAAATATACTTTTGGGCTCGTAAATACCTAAAGGTAAGAATAACGACCTAATATGTTGCTTCTAAAATATAAAGCCCCAGCTTATTATCATCTTTCAACCTATCTAAACGGGATATATAAGAATTTTATATGAAATTTTTTGTAGGTTCGTTATATGTCCCAAAGGGCTATATTCTTGTCAGCAGCAATGCGTCTCATCTGTATAGACGACTGACTTTCAACCACTGGGTCTTGACTTTAAAATTTCTCTCCACCTTCTTCAGTTTTAACAACTGGATAGTATAATCAACTCGTATGTTAAATGAAAACTCTGTTCTGCTTAAGTAAATCCCAACTAACTGACATACTGATGTCTACCTATTCCAATATCAGCTCCAACACTGATCATCGAAGAAGGTGATGACATTGATAAAACTGAATTTTAGAATATTCTGCAAACACTACTATGCATATATATATATATATATATATATATATATAAATCGTAAGCAGATATTAAACACCTAGTAGTAAAATGAGTACTTACATTGGGAATGAATACTGTTTGCGAATTCACAAGGCTAATACCTAAAATCAATAAATGTAAATATATATGTATATCACTTGGTTTCTATTACTTACCTGTGAAAACTAGACAACAAAATAAAACTGAAGAAACTGTAAATACATGGTGTTTCTCTGAGTTCATTATTTCCGCTTATGGTGAAATTTCACAATATGTAATCGATCTGTGTGTTTAATTGAAGTATTCTGTACCTAAATGATAGTACTGAGGACTGTCGAATATATTAACGTCTCCCTCTTATCATTACTTCTTCTTGTTCCAGATTGGTGATTAGAACAAATTTAAAAATGGTACAATGTCCGACACTTGTGTTGTTTTATAACTTCTATGAAACGTTAATTCATGTACACATATCATTGTATCAGTGATATACGTTAAAACATGTAAAAATATGTGTTGTATTGGTTCATAGATTTGTTTATATGAATGAAGTATCCATTGTACATGTGATTGAATTTATTCATGTTTAATTTGGACTTATATGCACACTAAACACACACACACACACAAACACATGATTTCATCAACATGCAAACGTAAACTATTGTAAACATGCAAATGACACTCATGGTCATGGTTACAAAGAATTACTTTGAAGTGTTAGATAATTTATCTGTCCATTTCTCTGTGTATTTGTTTTGTCAGTACATTTCCGTTTGTAAATAAAACAAATCAGTTCTTAAAACATAGTATCACTTTACATCACTTAATTAAAGTGGATAGTACTGTCAGGGGTTGTATTAGAGGGATTGACTTTTTATTTAGTGCCCAAAGGCTTACAAGTATGTAGTAAGACATACAAAGCGTTAAGTAACCACCTACTCTGACAGTTCACTAACTTTATGTGAATAATCCTGTATGTCTTCACGAGTTGATCACAGATTGATATCAGTTAGAGAGCCATTGGAAACCAGGAAGTACTGGACAGCTGTTTCATCCTAGTGCTTGGGAATCATCGCCAGTACGCACACACCACCAGAGTTTGAACCCAAGACCTTCCGGTCACAAGGGAAGCTCGTATACGATCCAGCCACTGGAACCCGATTCAATGCTCACCCCATGAATTCTAAATTCTACCAATTCGTGACTTAGCGCGACCATCGACCAATGTTATCGGTGGGAAATCCATCCTCATACTTGACTGGTTGGACCTCACTGGTCATGACTTCTCACTAGAACTCCAGGAAACTTCATCCTGTAGCGAGTCACTAGCGACCATCAGATTGATTTTCTATAGTCGGTTTGTAAGAAATGGTTTTGGTTTTACAAGGATGGAGTTTCCTGGAATTCTAGTGAGAAGTCGTGACCACTGAGGTACATCCATTCAAGTGTGAAGATGGATGTTTCACCGATGAAATAAGTTGGTGCCAGTCGCGCTCAATCACGAAGTGATAGAAGTTCGAATTTATAGACTGGCCACTGAATCGGGTGAGGTTCTAGCGGCTGAATGGTTTACAAGCTAGCTTGACTTGTAGCCGGAAGGTCGTGGGTTCGGACCCTAGTGGTGGCTGCGTACTGCTGATGATTCCGTGCTTGCCTGGCACGGTATGTCACTCGACAGCCTTCTCAGTGCATGTCCTATCCATATCCATTTCCTTCTATGTATTTACTGTGTGGTAGGTTCTTGGTTGGTTCGTTCTCAGTGCTCCTAGCTGCTAATCCTATCTGGCTGGACATTTGATCTTCAGTATGGAGAGAAGGCAACCAGCTGTCTGCTGAAAGTCTGTAGTCTGTTATAAGTGCTTTTTTTGACACATCATGTTTCCGAACGATATATACACACTAACTGATTGAACAATAGTTTAGGAAATCCGGAGTGCGATGACAAGTTCATCAGAATTTAATTAAATTTCACTGTGATACGAATTGCTGCGTTTGACTTCCGATAGGGTCATGCAAATGTGCCTCTTAACAGTTCAAAAAAAGGAAAACGGAACATCTCTCCAATAATCGCTGGTTTTCTACGGTTCTCTGACTTAATTTTTGATGATCTAACTTCTATTCGTCATCACCGATTCCTGGTATCGTATTAGCTAGTGAGAAGCAGACGAAACAAACGATGGTACTTTCTTATTTTCCACAAACTATTGTCTTTGCTTTGTTCATATTCACAAAAAAAGGGAATTAGAAGCATGCGAACAATAGCCATAAAATGTTCGATTCTGAGACAGAGATTGTGTATTTTAATTATCCAAACATATAATTACCGCCTACTGAGTTGGAAATGAGCTTTTCAAGCTTAGAAATTATAGAATAGACTTGATAAACAGGAAATAAACAATTATTATTTTTCATCTAACTTTGTTGTTTAAAATAAAAAAGGATTATTAGATTTATCTATTGAACTGAATTCAGTGTTTTAACGTCTGAAAGAATAATTCATATTACATTATTGTATGTTTACAATTCACTGGACAAGAAATCCCTCTGGAACTGACGGCCTAACAAATTGAGTTTAATATGAAAATCTGTTCTCAATTGACTTATTGATTGTGTGAAGTAGGATATATTTTACAGTGAAATATGTAGAACAAAAGTTGAATTATGCATTATTATCTAAATAATCCTTGTTAAACGCTTTGTATTATGCATAGTGTTTGTATCAAACTTCGACGACTAATTAGTCATGGATCGTATATATATATATATATATATATATCCAAACCTTTGAAATCTATTATACTGTCAATATACAATTTCATCATTTCTGTTGTTCTCTAAAGGATTTCAGCTATTCGGCAAAGTTTAACAACGGCGTCCCAGGAGTGTGAACGCACGAGTGACCTTCAACTGATCAATCGTAAAAAGGAGGGATGTTTACTCAAAATATGATGTATATTGACAAGAAAATGCTTGAAAACGCATTAAACACAGGTTATCTTTCTCTGACATGCCTTAAAAATACCTCCTAGTTATAATGAGGAGTATCAGTTGCTAAGTTAGACTAGTTTCTGTACGTGTATCCACCGAGATGACTACAGATAAACTGTTTTTGCGCATCGTTTATCTCTCTCATCCTGCTTGCAGTCTTCCAAAAACGTCCGCGGTTGAATTATTTTGGTTTCCAGCAAGAGGATAGACGACTACTTACCAGGAAAACGTGGATAATAGAAAAATTAAAATAAATGATATCAACTATAAATCTATCCCTAATCAAAACCATAAGCTTAATCCTGACCCAAATCATAACCCTTATTCAAGCCGTAATTCTAACCCTGATGCTAATTATAACCCTGATCCTAACCCTAACCTCAATACTTAGCTTAACCCTAATCCCAACCCTAACGAGCTATTAACACATTGTCCAAACAGTACTTAAAAACGTGATCTGAGTGAAATTTGCTCCTAAGTTGGTGAATAGCGTTGATATTTCAGCTGTGATAGTGACAGATGCCATTGGCCAAAGACTAGCATGCGTCCAACGTTATTGAAGCGTTCGCACTCCTGGGAGGCTATTGTTGAACTTTGCCAGCTATTCGTTCTCTTTAAACTCGATAGTGTCTGAAAACTGTTTTGTTCTTCCATATACACAATTGTAAGGGCGGCAGTGACAAGGTGACCAATTCCAGGGAGGTTTGAAAGGCATAACATGTGCAACAAGGAGCTCTGTAGGTCAACCGGGCAATAATCCATAAGTATGCAGAAAGAAATGCATATGTATTGGGCATACGCTGAGGAGACACGCAGTTGACATTACACCCTGGAGAGACCCTCGAGTGGGACCCGAATGGGAATCGATGGGTTAGGTAGGAGTACGAGAGTGACATGGATGATACCATTTGAGGAGAAGATGATAGAAATCGTGAATTCAACCAAAGGTAATGGCAGAGAGCCAAGTGACGTGGAGATGTTCCGCCGAAAACGTATATAGCGCTTGGAACTCAAGGAACAAAAACATAATAATAGTACAGTTGTATAAATTTCACCTTAATTCATAACAGAGTTGATGACGCCTGTAAAACTTAACACACTATGCCTGTAAAATAGATATTCTAACATTTAGAAATAATCATTCCGGAAAAGCATCACAGTTCATTTAACAAAATTCATGAGAACCACATCATTATGCTGTGCTAATTAATTATAATCATTGCGTATGTTGAACTTGAATTGAGTAATATATAGGATAAATTATAATTCTCAACTGTTAACTGAGAAATATTAAAAACATTTTCAAGAATACCAAAGGTATAGTTACGTGGATTGTATTCAATTAATCATTTTTAGGTTAAAAATTAAAATGCAAAAGATATCCGGTGCTTACTGGTCTTCAGGCTAGAAGGGAAGTGTCTATCATTTTTAAAAGTTAATATCATCTCGCAAATCAATTAGTTAGAAAGCAGGAGACAGGAAGATTTCAGATGGGCTCATTCTTTCCATTATATTGACAAAGTTAAGTCACAAGCCTTTCGGGTGACTTACTACTTTACATTGCTGTAACCTTTTGACATTAGGTGGTTGGAAGTAATTGACAAGAATCCTTGAAACTAGGTTTCGTGCTAGCTGGCACTGGTCAGTAAGGCGTATCTGCAACCTTCAAGGAATTCATATCACTTCTGAGATCCGAACCCGCTTCACCCAGTGTTGCAGTCATAGACGTCCAATCGAAACTATCCAATACACTTCAACAGGAGGTCAATCGCGAGCACGAATAGCTCAGTGGTAACGACTCTGACTGCATCACTGCACTGGGTGACGCGGGTTCGAATCTCAGAAGGGTTATGAGTTCCTTGAAGGTTACAGATACACTTTGCTGACTGGTGAGTGCCAAGTAGTACGAAACCAGGTTCTAAGGCTTCCTGTGGCCGATTGCCTCCAACCATCTAATATCAACAATTTAAAGTGAACCATAATGGTGCGCCATCTAGGATGGTGGCCACATTGCAAACGTGACTGATAGAATTCCGTGTATACCAGACAGAGGACTAGACAAATTACACTAGTTGCTAACCAGTGTCCAATTAAAATTTCTGCAAGTAACTGACTAGTTCACATTTATCATTATAAGTCAGAGAAATGAATAGCCTTTCTTCTTATTAAATCAGTCATTGAATTTTAATCAGAGTTATTTATCCTGTTATCCCTAGATATTCATTCATCTATGCATATTGATTTACAGTCACTAACAAATCAATCAATGCAGAATCAAATGACAGTTGAAACGGAAGTTTGCTAGGTTAAAAATTATGCATATATTGTTCGCAAAACAAATATATCCAGGTATATTGGCATTAATTACCTTCAGACAATGAAAAGTAATCAATAATAACCGTTATAATAATAATTATTATTATCTGAAATTTTAAATAGACAGTAAAGTTACAGTAGGCTGGTAGGTGATGTAGATATTTAAAGCAGACAGTGGAATGAAGACTGACTCCAATAATATTACGGAAGTAAAGCTATAAAATTTCAATAGTTTGTTTGTAACGATTAGATT